TTCTTCAAACTGGGAAAACTTATAACAGGGTGTAACTGGTGGCATTGTTCAAACCAGTTGCAAGAAGTAAGGGGGAGCCTTTACAAAGCAGGGGTGTCTCCGAGCATGCCCACCACCAGCAAGGCTCCCTGGGGCTGAACACCTGGGAGAGGAGGAGAAAAGCAGAGGGAGAAGACCCTGAGGAAGCAGCAAACAGATACAGACATGCTGGTAGCACAACCCAGACATAAATCCCTGAGCAAGAGCATGGCAAAGAAGAGCTTGTTTTTTGAAATAGGTGCGGCGCTGTAAGCAAACCCCAGCTCCTCATGTTTGAGGTCACTTTGCTGGGATAAAAAGAATGCATCTGACTCAACTCCTTTCCTAGATCATCTGTCAGCTGGAAGAGCCTATGGGCTGGCTTGACAGCTCGTGGCACCGGGGAGAATAGCAGGAAGGAGCCTGGTCTTCACTGATCCCATGTAGGAGGGCTTGTTCTGCTGGGGGCTGAGTGCCCCAGCTCACCAGAGGACCTCAACTACTCCCATGCACGTACAGGGGAAGCATTAAGAGGGTTAATTCTTTAACTAAGAATGGAACAATCTGTTTGATTTGGTAAATCTTTTCTGATCTGAGTAAAAGCATTCACAGAGCAGTGGTTTGAAGGAGAGAGATACTTCGTGCTTAGATGGGCTGGTACCTCTTAAGAAATCCTTCTTGGTGCTCTGGAGCGTGAGCCAGTTTGGTTGCTTTGTTATAGCCCTGGCTTATCAAAATGCTTCTACCAGGTGCCAGTAAAGGCAAGGATTCCAATTTTTTGGCAGCTGCTTCCAAAGTCTCTTATAAATTTTGTTGATAAGTGTTGCTTGCTCCTTGCTTTTCTTTGATGCTCTAAATAAATGCTACAAGGCTCTGGTTGAAAAAAAGAAAATTAAGGCTACAAGATAAATGGTTTTCTGTCTCTTTCTGTTTTAGGAGGGGGATGTCTGGCCAAATTCTTCAGCTGAAATTAATGTGATCTTTCAACCCCAAGAAGCCAGAGTCTATCAACAAACGGTCTACTGCGACATCTCAGGTACAGCTCCTTGGTCCTGTTCCCCACACTGAAGATGAGGCACAAACAGTTTTTCCAGCCAGCTCGGTCCTTACGTAGTTGCCAGGAAGGGCCAGTGGTCCACTAACATATGCCCGCTGTCCCTGGGGTTTCCAGGTTGTCTCGTGTCTGATGCCAGGGCTCAGGACACCCAACTCTGGATCACTGATCCCAGAATAACCAGGGCAGGCAAAGGCCAAGTTTCATGCCATGGATTTGCCAGCACTTGCTCTGCTGTGAGTTGTCTGTAAAGCCCAAAGAGCTACAGAGCAAAACAGCTTTAGTGAGCAATCACTAACCCTTGTAGACCATTTACATCCTCCAGGATGAGGCTTTATTCCATGGATGCATCATCAGACCCCTGAGATGGTAGGAGCTGAGTTAAAATGTGCTCGCAGTCCCTGGACCCACCTCCGTGGTGGCTACCTAGATGCTGCCAGGCTTTGGGTGGCTGAGCCGTTCAAGGACCATCTCTGGCCACCACACGCTTCTCTCTGTGCGTGGGAATTGCCACCTTGGGGTCCCAAGTGCCTCAGGGTTGTGCAGGGCTTGCTGTGCTCAGCAAGGGGAACAAACACCCTCCCTGGAACTGGTGTCCCAGCAGTCTGCTAGACAAGCTTTGTGCTCATCCTGCCTTACCAAAGTGCTGTCAAGTCTCTTCCTGGGAGCAGTTATCATTGTTCCCCCTCCTCCCCCCCCCTCTTAGGCCATTTGTGCCCTTACAGAGGTGATGGCTTTGCTGTGCTAGCACGGGGCAGGGAATGCTTGCAGCAAGGTTCAGGTTACCTCGTCCTTCCTCTATGCCTGGGCACAATGCTGCTTTAAGGTGGTTTTTTTTGGGAGCAGGAGATTGCTGCAGACCTGCATCCAGGTCTTTTTTCCCCATCTAAGAGGAAGAGGTGTGAGGTCTGTGGTCCTCTAGCAGCCAGACTTCTGTTCTGGAGGGTGCTGGAATCACTAACCCAGCTGCTTTACTGCTCCAAGCTGACAGATACAAATGTCATGAAACAGCTTTTTATTTATACAGTAATTGCACAGGGTTTACTTGGCAAATGCCACCTACAGTAATTACCTGGGGCTTGTGTTAACAAACTGTCTTCCTGCCCACCAGCTGCAGTTGTTAGAGCTGTGGAAGGAAAGGATTGATTTAAAAAGCTGCTCCCAGGGGATTTCTTGCTCAGGGCTGTGCTCCTGGCTCTATTTTTTTTTTTTTTTTTTTTTTTTAATCTGGTGAGAGGGGTGTCCATCACTTTGCTGCAGGGATCTCCAAAGGTTGTGCCTTGGGAGGTTTTTGGTTGCAGAGAAAAAGAAAACAACTTGCATGCAACCCTCAAGCTGGTCTGGAGGTTACAAGAAATCAAGATCTCTGTTGAGAAAGTGGAGACTGCTCTTGAAAGATCTTTACTCTTCCACTGGCTCCTTGGAAGAAGGCCTCAAGGAAGTAATTTAAATGATGCATTTACCCCCCAGTCCCTTTCAAAACCGAGCTGATCCCCAGGGTCGTCATGGGGGGATCTGTCCCAGAGTCAAGGTCACTGGGTGCAAAAAGAGCTTGAAGAAGGCAACAACAATCTTCAATTAGGCAGTCAATTAGTTTGGCTTCTCAGCTCCTCCTGCATTCCCATGTCAGTCACAGATCCCCTCAGAGGCTGACTGCAGACCATATTTTGCCCCTTGCTGGGAGTATCTGGGAGCTTTGCCCCAGTGCAGCTGGAGCTCATGGCCCACTGAAAAGGAGCTTTGCTGGCCTCTGGTTTGTTTGGGTTTTTTTTTGCAGATGCCTCCCTAAATTGCTCAGCAGATGCTTCTGGATCAGGTGATTTACAGAACCCATCAGCACTGTGCAACTTGCAAAGCTGGCAGCGAAGAAGTGCTTTGAAATTTGCTCTTGGCAAATATTGACGCTCAAGATGAACTTTGAGTTATTCATGCAAATAAAGCTGTGGCTCTGGAGTGCTGGAAGGGAGCACACAGTGAGGGGCTCAGACACTGAAAATTCCTGGGGTGGTATAGGTTTTCTGCCATTTCTAAGCTACTCTTGCAGGAAGGAGCAAGCTCCCAAATGATAACCACTCCTTTACCTTGTGATGTCCTGCATGATGGAAAACTGGATCTCTGCTGACCTGGCCAGATGAGAATCACGTTCAAAAACAGTCACAAAACACAAGTACGTTCTGTGGACAAGAAAATGAGTGTCAGAAAGCAGCAGAAGTTAAGGACTTTGGCAACGAAGTGCTGTGCTCTTGGGCTGCCTACACCCCTATTTATTTCAGTGATGTGCCAAGGTGTTGTTCCTACTGAGATCCAAATTCTTGCTCCACCACGTGAGGGTCTGGGATTGAGGTTGAGAGGCTGTAGCCCCTCTGTGCCCTTGGTCTGTGTGCTCTGGAACATGGTATGGTGGGAGCATTACAGGGCTGCAGCCCAGCTGCACCTTTAAGCAAGGGTTGCATGCTCCTCAAGTGCATCCAGGTGGGTGCATGAGGGTGGTGAGGCTCTGACCTGGGTTGTCGAGAGAGATGGTGGATGGCCCATTCCTGGAACCATTCCAGATGAAGTTGGCCGGAGCTCTGAGGAACCTGCTGTAGTTGCAGATGTCCCTGCTCCCTGCAGGGGATTTGGCCTAGATGGCCCTGAAAGGTTCCCTCCAACCCAAACCACATCATTCTATGAAATCCCAGCTCCTGGCAAAGAGGAGGACATTCTTTCTCTTTTTCTTCTCAGCTTTCCTAAATGCTGCTTGTGGTTTAGTCCGTTCCTCCTCCTTTGGGAAGAGCCCACTCTGAAGTTCACCTGGAAGGAAGAAGAGCAAAATTTCTGGGGTAGAAGAGAAGATGGTTTTTATGGACCTTCAGGAGAGGTTGAGGACCTGCTGAAGAAGGAGAAGAACTGCCACTGTTTTTTCACCTACAGTGGCTATGGGACATAAATCTCAGCTTGACTATGGCCAAAAGCTTGTCACTTGGGAATCTTTGGAGCTTCCTAAGAGCTTTTTGTGGCTGGAGTTGGTAATGAAAATTAAACCACATGTGATGCAAGATGGAAAAATCTTTTGATAGTGAGCACCCAATAATTCCTCTTATAGGATGTCCTGGAAATAGAAATATACAACCTGGCAATTAACACCTGGGCTGTGAGACATAACTGTCATCTCTGCTATCAGGTGGGCTTTGGCTGGATCCACTTCAATGTTGTCTCCAACAAAAGCTCCCTCAATCTTCCTTTCTGGATTTGGATCTTATCAAACATCTTCATCCCATGGCTGCAAGATGAAAAAGTCAGGAATCATTGAAAAGGCTCTTCCAGGAGATATTTTTTTCAAATTGTGATCCAGTCACTGTGGTGTCACATCTGGGCTGGTCTTTGCAATAAATAAATTTGGAAATTCTTGAATTTCTGTGCAGAAGTCTTAAAAAAAAAAGTCAGCCTTCAATCCCTTATCTTTAATAAATGGTGAGCGTGGCACAAAAGGAGCTTGAAGGACAGAGGAGTATTTTTTGCAAAAAAGCTACAGTGAAGGTTGTATAGAATCATTTTGGTTCAAAGAGACCTTTAAGATCATTATGTCCAACCATTAACCCAGCACTGCCAGGTCACCACTGAACTGTGGCCCTTCATGCTACATCTCCACAGCTTTTCAATCCCTCCAGGGATGGGGACTTCCCTGAGCCTCCTTGGCTCCAGGCTCAACCCCCCCATGTCTCTCAGCTGCTCCTCACCACACTTGGGCTCTAGACCCTTCCCCAGCAGCTTCGTTGCCCTTCTCTGGCCACGCTCCAGCCCCTCAAGGTCCTTCTTGAAGTGAGGAGCCCAAAACTGCACCCAGGATTTGAGAGGCGGCCTCCCCAGTGTCTAGTGCAGAGAAGACAACTTCTGCCCTGGTTCTGCTGGCCACACTAGTGCTGGTCCAAGCCAGGATGCTAGTGGCCTGGGCCACCTGGTCATAATCTATCTCATCTCCATCTGGCTGTTGACCTCCCCAGGTTCTTTTCTGCTAGGAAGCTTTTAGGGCTCTCTTCTTGCCCTTGTGCTACTCGCCTTCCATGCAGAGTAGAATGGGATGGCAGGAGACTCAAGCTGAAACCTGAGGTAGGATTCAGCCTCTTTGGGCTTCTCAGGTGGCTCAGAACAGTTCTGAGAGTTAGCAGACTTGCAGAAGAAAGTTGGCATCTTAGAGTTTAGCTGGAAGCCTCATGCTCTCAATTGCCTTTGCAACGAGTGATGAGTGTGTTAGGAGAACGTTGACAGCTTATCTCAGCTGGTTGTTGAGGAGGCTGGTCTTCCATAACTGCTCAGCATGCTTCAGGTAAGGTGTCTTCACCAAGCTGAGCTCTTGGCATCGTGGTGAGAATAGGTGAGACTTCTCCTCTCTGGAGATCATAAAGCCCTGTGTTATTGAGGTGCTGCTGCAGGAGGTGAGCCCTGGAGCACCCAGGTATGGAGCCATATGTTGGCCACAGGTTGTGGCTCAGCTGCTTGGCCTGCTCCAGGCAGCACCCAGGTGTGTAGTTTGCTGTCAGCAGAGACCTTCACCTTGCTTGGCCTCGTGCTTCTCTGCTCCTGCATCAGTGCAGCCAGTGGATTTTTATCTTCAGTTGTGCTTTATGAGCTTTGTGCCTTTGCCGAATGGGTTTCAAAGCTCATCTAAGCACATGGGAAGAAATTCAGAGATCATGTTTTAAACTTAGCATCACTTCTTCTACACAAGTTTTCTTTGGAGAGATTCCAAACCTGCCTGGACGGCATCCTGGGCACCCTGCTGTGGGTGACTTGCTGGAGCAGGGAGGCTGGATGAGATGATCTCCAGAGGTCCCTTCCAACCCTAACATGCTGGGATTCTGTGAACTGGTGGCTAAATTAGAAACCAGCACAAGGAATTGGTCAGAAATAAGAAACCAGCCCCAAAACATATCTCCTGAGGGAAGAGAAGGGTCCTTTATCTTCTCCTGGTGCTGGTCCCATCCAGCCCAAAGTCAGGGACTAGCACGGGGGCAGCCTGGAAAATCCCAGGAAACAATCCCAGGAATTGTTGTACTGAAATGGAAGTCTCTCCCCAGGCCGTGAGACCAGGCTGCCCCTGCGCCTCAAAGGGGAAGGCACAGGGCCCCGGCTCTGCTTCAGCTTCCAGCAGCTGGACGTGGGGAAGGTGTTCCTTGGATCAGCCCACAGCTATGAGGTGAGCACTGGGAGCTGGGCTGGATCCTGATGCCTCCCAGGGGCACAGAGAGTCTTGTGGGTTTTCTCGGAGCTTGAGCAGGGAATATCTGATGTAAGAGTCCAATCTGGGGGGTTTCACAGAATCTGGGTACTTCTGATGGCGTACAAAAATTGTATGTGTTGTTTGTGAAGCCCTAATCCCTGTTTTTTAGGGTTGGGAAGCCTGGAGAGGAGAAGGCTCCAGCTGGGGAGACCTTCTGGGGGCCTGCCAGGACTTCAAGGGGATGTGTCAGAAAATTGGGGACAGACTTTTGAGCAGGGCCTGTTGGGACACGACAAGGGGAGATGGTTTGAAACCAAAAGAGGGGGGTTCTAGGCTAAAGAGAAGGAAGAAATGTTTGACACTGAGGGTGGTGAGCCCCTGGCCCAGGTTGCCCAGAGAGGTGGTGGATGCCCCATACTTGGAACCATTCCAGGTGAGGTTGGCCAGGGCTCTGAGCAACCTGCTCTAGTTGGGGATGTCCCTGCTCCCTGCGGGGGAGGGGGGTGGACCAGATGACCTTGAAAAGTCCCTTCCCACCCAAACCATTCCAGGATTTTGAGCAATTTCCTTTTGAGATCAGCTGGGAGGCTTCCTGCAGGAAAAAAAACTGGCTTGAAAAGACAAGTGTTCAGAGGCTTTTTTTTTCAAGTTCTAGATGTGATGCACCCCTGGAGTCTGTCTCTTAAAAAGCAGCTGGAACAAATTGACTGTTTGAGCTCAAGTCCACTGCAAACACTTTCCAGTGAAGTGCATCCTGCCGATTTGTGGGAGCTGGAGGAAAACCATCCAGCCTCCTGGCTCCCATCTGGCCCTTGCAAAGAAACTGGGAGTGCCAACTAGTGTCTTGCCACACCTCAGACCTGGTGCACCTCTGGCTCTGTGAAGAGCTAACACTGCTGGAAAAATGATGCAAAGGAACTTTTTATCTATTTTCCTCCCATGTCAGGTCTTCTGAAAATAATAATAATAAATAAAAAAAAAAAAAGCCAGAGCAACTGAAAGAGGTAGAAAATGAGGCAATACATCATACCAGACACTTTCAAAAGCTTGACTGTGGCAGGGAAGGACACATTAAGGTGTTTTCTTACCCAAACGTTATGCTCTCTATGCATTTTTAATGCTGATCCTTTATTTATTCTTTCTCTCCATCTATTATTTTGATTACTCGAGCAAACGGGAATAAGTAGCTGATGCTGTTGGTGCTGTCTTAAGCAGCTAGACTGGAGGTAAACCTCAGCCTAGGGTCCCTCAATTTCACCTTGCAGTAGTTGGCTTTGGTTTGGGGAGGTCTCTTGGTCTTCACAGGCAGATGGGGGCATGAAGAGAGCTGAATCTCAACACATGCTGCAGGCCTGTGTCATTTGTTTGGGGCAGTAGAGCTCTTGAGTCTTCAACAAAATACAGCTTGGCTCTAAATTTATGTTGTTGGTGTTTTTTTTTTTTTTCTGATAACAGTAAAACCTGTTACTTAGAAAACAAATCATCCTCTGTAAGAGAGGAGAATTCCTCCTGTATTTTCATTTTGCTTTCTTGGTCCTGCAGGTGATCCTGTTCAACAGAGGAGCCATCGATGGTTTCTTCAGCTTAGTCCCTCCAGCTACAGCTCTGGGCTCCTGCTTCACCTTTCTCCCCCAAGAGGGCATCATTTTGCCAGATGGGCTTCAAGTTATCCAGATCTCCTTCAGTTCCACCATTCTGGGGCAGTTCACAGAAGAATTCCAGTTCAGTGTGAAAGGATCCCCTGAGCCTGTGACCTTAACCATCAGGTGAGGAGGACTGTGAGAGCTCAGTGGGCACTTCTGTAGCTGCCTCTGGGTAGTCATCTCCCACTGACCTCATTTCATGATGGAGCAGAGAATAAAGGTGTTGTCTGAGGTCTCAGTCTTGGCTCTGATCCTGGTATCCCCATGATAAGAGCCAGGACCTTGGCTGAACCTTGCAATTCCTGCAGCAAATTAAATGTAATTGTCTATGGGAGGAGATCATCGAATTGAAGAGTTATTTGGGCTGGAAGGGACCTTTCAAGGTCATCTAGTGCATCATCTAGTCTCTTTTAGTGTCAAGCCATGCCCCCTTGTCCTGTCCCAACAGCCCTGCTCAAAAGTCTGTCCCCAGCTTTCTGACAGGCCCCTTGCAGTCCGGTCAGGCCCCCAGAAGGTCTCCCCAGCTGGAGCCTTCTCCTCTGCAGCTGCCCCAGCCCAACTCTCTCCTGCTGGGCTCCCAGCAGAGGGGTTCCCCCCTCGGGTCATTGCTGGGGCTCCTCTGGCCCCACTCCAGCAGGTCCCTGTCTCTGCTGTGCTGAGGACTCCAGAGCTGCCCCAGCACTGCAGGGGGGGTCTCCCCAGAGTGTGGCAGAGGAGCAGGATCCCCTCCCTGCCCTGCTGCCCACCTATGACCATGCCCCTTATGCTCTCAATGCCCAGTTCAACTTTCAAAGTCTTGGATTCTTCTGGGAAGCAGCTTTGCCTTCATGGCTGAGCTGGGATGGCTCTTTCACTTTCCAGGATGGTGTTTGCACAGAATTTGACAGCAGCAGGTTCCTTTTGTGATCCTTGGGTACCACTGTGTGAGGACCCCAGGGCTTTAAGTGACACTGTCCATGCTGCAAAAATGTTTAATTGGAGGCTGCACAGGAAAGGTGTAGAGATACCTGCTGCCCAGTCTGGGTTCCCCTCAGCTGGAGTGTCTCCTTCCTACAGACAGGTCATTCCCCTTTGGCCATGGCAGGCAGTGTGATGGTATCCATGTGGATGGTCTGGGATGCTCCATCTGAGCACACAACAGAGCCAGCAGAGGTGGCTGGAGATGGCTGAGGGTGGGCCAGCCTTGGGTGATTCTACAGCCAGAAGCAGGGTTTTTCAAATCCTCTGGTAATAATCCACACCAAAGAGAGAGCAGCAGCCTCAGCACCACCTCTCGTGCTAATGTGTTGGGACAAGCAACGTCCTTTCTGCAGCCAGCAGAGTGCTGAGGTGGGAGGTGAGGAGCTCTGCAGCCAGCGCCGTCACAAGGGCTTGGGCATCATCCCCTGGGCTGGTGCCACTGCAAAAGATAATCCTCCCTCAGCAAAGGGGAGAGGAAGTCAGAAAGACTGATGGTAGGAGAGGCCAAGGTCACTTCTCAGGACGTGTCCCAGCTGGCCTATCCCATGGGCTGGTGGGATATGTCCCATGATGCTGGGTGCTGCTGGTTGAGGGGTGACGGTGGTGCTCCCTCAGCAGCCAGCCTCCTGGGCTGCTGCTCTTGAGAGGCACTAGGTTGAGGTAGCAATGAAGTGAAAGGAATGTGCACTTGGGTTTATCAGTAAGATGAGGGGAATGGATAAACCCAAGGTTATTCCTTTGCAGGAGAAGGGTGGTGAGAAGGTCTGTTGACCTCAGTACCAGAACAGTTCCGTTGGCTTTGTGTTTGGAGGGAAAGTGCTGCTTTTTTTGGAAATCAAGAGGGAACATTTCACAACCAAATAATTTATTCTTCTCCGTCCCTCCTCCCCCAGACTGGTCACGGGGTGTTACTGCAGAAGCAGCTTTCTCCTTGGGCAAGGGCACTTTTTGCTTGGGAAGATGCACTTCTCATAGGTGGAACACAGCATTGCTCAGATGGTGCCCTCTGCTTTGCTCCTGGGAAGGGAAGGAGCTCCTGGTGGGATTGGTGTCTGTTGGCTTCCTCACAACCATGTGAAGTGGTCCTTCTTCCACCACTGATGCTCTGACTCCCCATGCCCAGCACGTCCTCCCCTTCTTTGTGGCCACTGTGTTTAGCCAGCACCACCCTGGGCTCGATGCAGGTCTTGGTGCAAGAGGTTGATGGTCCTTCTTTATTTCTTCCTCATCCTTGTGTTCTTCATTCCTGGCTGTTGGCTCCTGAGGAGTCCATCTGATGGGACCTCATCATCCCCATCTGCTCCTATGCAGACATCCCTCTGCAGTAATTCCCACTGCAGTCTGCTCCTCCCTGAGATGGCATCTGCCTCCTGGAACTGGAGAGAGTCCAGCTGAGGCTATGGAGATACTGGGAGGACTGGAGCATCTCTGTCAAGGAGAGGCTGAGAGCCCTGGGGCTGTTTAGCTGGAGAAGAGAAGCCCCAGAGGTGATCTGATCAATGCTGATCAAGAGCTAAAGGACCCACAGGGAGCAAGAGGCTGGGACCAGACTCTTCTCAGTGCTGCCCAGAGACAGGACAAGGGGCAACGGGCACAAACTGGAACCCAGGAGGTTCCACCTGAACAGGAGGAGAAATTTCCTTGGTGTGAGGGTGGCAGAGCCTGGAGCAAGCTGCCCAGAGAGGTTGTGGAGTCTCCGGCTCTGGGGAGATTCCAAACCCACCTGGATGTGATTCTGGGCACCCGGCTGTGGGTGACCTGCAGGAGCAGGGGGGTTGGACAAGATGATCTCCAGAGGTCCCTTCCAACCCCACCATGCTGGGATTCTGTGATTTCTGTCTTGCTTTTTTTCAAGGACCTCTGTCCAGCACTTACTTCTCCTTCTCCAGCCCTAGAACTCAAACTGTTTATTTGCAGATGCCTTTGAGATGTCCACCCACCAGGCCAAGCTGAGCCACCACGTTTGGGAGATTTTGAGCACAGGATTTACTCCTCCATGGAGAAAAACTCCCAGTTTGAGATGAACTGGAGGGTGGGACACTGGGCTGTGAAGGAACAGCGATGAATGTTCAAGTCGTTCCTCTCCCACCTTGTGTCGTCCTTACTGCTCTGCAAGGACCACCATGTCCCTTCAGAAGAACATTATTTAACGCCACTGTATGACACAGCTCTTGCCAAAACCTCTGCCTTTCCCCCTCTTCTCTTGCAAGCTCTGCTGTTCTCAGCGGTGGTGCTCAGAGCTCTGGCCTGGCTCCTTGCCCAAGCCTTCTGGGCAGGCGTTCAGGTCGAGCTTACTTGAGCACAGATCGAGTGAGCTCAGCAGAAATGGGAGTCACTTCCCCACTCACCTGGCAAGGCTCCTCCTTGGCGCTTTCCCAGCGTGATCCCCAGCTGTGGTTGGGTTGGAGGTAGTTTTCCATCGTCTCCTGGCAAGCGCCGCCGTGGAAAGCCCAACTGCTCCCTTTGCTCCATCCCAAGGAAGCTGTTAGGGCTTGGGAGGTTAAGTCTCATTATCTGAGGTCCTTGGAGAGGGGACTTCAGCAGCAGTGGGGATTTGCTGCCTGATTTATTCTGATTCAGCTCCAAGAGTCGGATTGAAGCTCCTGAAAGTTGGGTTTGGGGTACGCACTCAGGAGATGACCAAACCATAGGTGATTATTCAGTTGGAAACCAACCTTACAAGGTCTTGAATGCTTGTTTCTTTGGTGTTTAGGAAGGGACGCTGGCAATGGGGCACCGTGGATGAACATGGGGCCCCCAGGAGGGTGCTAGGGTCTGTTCGTGTGCAGAACAGCCCCAGTGTAGTCCTCTGAATATAGAAAGCTCTAGTTCACTGTGGTCCTTGATTTTTGAACTAAGAGGCAGAGCTGGCACTGATTGCATCAACCATGCAATGAGGCCATGTCTGGTGTGCAGCTAAAAGTGCTGATTTTGGTGGATGTTGGTGAATTTTGGAGTTTGGAGCCTGTCTGCTGAGTTTAAGGATGAGCAAGATGCTGTGGTGGGCTCAGGACACCCATGTTCACTGGTTTAAGCTGTGTTGCTCCTGCACGTATCAGCTGGTGCACTGGTCACAGGTTGATACTTTCCTCTAAGATTCAACCATCTGCTTTGTAGAATTGTTGCTGATTCTCTCAGTGGATGTTTGGGGCTTTCCTGGGTTCATGCCTCCAATTTCTGCATGCGTAATGATTGTGTGGGTCAAGATCTTCTGAGCTAGACTTTCATATAATCCATGGAAACACCAGTTCCAGCTAAGAAACACTAAAGAAGGGAACCTGTGGCTGGCAGGGCTGCTTACAATGACTTCGCTTGCATGTGGACACCTGTGTCCATCAACTTACAGGTGGGGAAACTGAGGCACTCTTTAACCAAACCAATGTCTCCTCTGCCTTTGTCCTCACAGGGGCTGTGTCATCGGACCAACTTTTCATTTCAACGTGCCTTCCCTCCACTTTGGTGATGTCTCCTTTGGTGAGTGTGCCCTGGGCTTGGACCACAGGTTGAGAGGTCTGTGCCTAACCAAAATGGAGCACTTCAGTGGAAGAAATACATCACTTGTGTTCCTCCAGAGCAGCCTTTAGGGTGTCCAAACCAAGGCTGATAGTTGCTTTGGCAGTATTGTACCATCAGGAGATCAAACAGGACCAAAGGAATCAAAAGTCAGTATTTTCTGCTGTCCTTCATAGTTTGTTCATCCCCAAGCTCCAAATTCTTGCCAGCAGAACAACTGTAGAAGTCCTGGCCCCAGAGAGTGGGACTGCAGGAGAAGGGGGTTCCTGTTGCAAGGCAAGGACCCCGTTCAACTCCCTGAGCTTCAGTGTAAGGGCACCTCCTTCTCACCTAGGAGTGATGGCCAAGCAGTAGCTCTGCATCAGGCACTGATGTCCTCAGAGATACTGACTCCTCCTCCTTCCTCACCAGACACCCAGGTCTGCTGACAGCTCCCGTGGCTGAGCACCCAGAGCTCTTTGGATCTCCACTGAACATCTCCATTGAAATGCAGATTGTGGGTCTCCATCTGGGTCTCACAAAAGGCTTTTTGCTGAGAGGATCCAAAGTTTCAATGTGAAATTGATTGTGGGTTGATTGAAGGGCCGTTAGCATTCTGTGCCCAGCATGCCACCCTGTTTTCATGCTGTTCCTGGACTTTTTAAGGCAACCCATTAACTTTCCTGAGCTGCTTCCTTCCCTCCCTACATCCCCACTCTGCCGCTTTGTTTCCTTTTAAATAAATAAAGCAAGAAGCCTGGTTACATAACAAGAGGTCCATCCTCCGTAATCTGATTTCGTTAATAAGGCTTCTTCTGCTGAAGCCACCTAGTTGGTGTTTTGTGGCTTCTTTTAACTGTTCTGCTGACTGTCCTCTGCATCTGGCCACTTCAGTCTCCTTTGGGACTCTGAAGGCTCCATTTGGCCTTTTAGTGGACCTCCTGATTGAGTAATTGCTGGAGGTGGACATGGAGAAACCGTGTCTGCAGTTGGTTCTTCTCCACATCTCTATTCATGTACCTCTTGGTAAGCAGGTCATGGGAGATGTCTCCTTCCTGCAGAGCTGGCCAGCCAAGCTAGATGTTCACTCCACAGCAAGCTGTGGGCTGGTGTCCTGTCCCTGCAGAACATCCCCACACCAGGTGTGGTTGTGTCACTGGCTTTCCATCATGGAAAGCTGTTGTCCAAGCTGAAGTGATGTCAGCTTCTGTGGTCAGGAGCCAAAGCCCAGTGTGCAATGTGGATGAGATGTCCCCTTTTGTTAGGTAGAGTGAGACATGATTCCTGCCAGTTTCTAAGCAAGGATCAGGTTTGTCTCCAGTGGAGTGGGCTGTGAGTTGGCACTTGCTCAGTCTGGTTGCCCCAAAACAGGAGATGCCTGAAGGATCCTGTCTGGAGAAACTGCATGAGAGTGCACCAGGTGCAGGACCCTCCACTTGCCCTTGTTGAACCTCATGAAGTTCCTCTCTGACCAACTCTCCAGCCTGTCCAGGCCTCGCTGAAGGGCAGCACAGCTCTGGTGTGTCAGACACTCTTCCCAGATCTGTATCATCAGCAAACTGGCTGAGGGTCCCCTCTGTGCCTTCATCCAGGTCATCGATGAAGACATTGAGTAAGGCTGGACCCAATCCTGTCCCCTGGGGAACACATTGTGAAGAGTGGTCATTGCCAAGGAGGCAACCCCTGTGATCAGAGGGAACTTAAGAGACAATTAATTCCTTGTTCAGCTTCTCCATTAGCTGTAATTCCAGTTGAAAAGAGCTAAACTCCAAGCTCAGCAGGACATTTCCACCAGGAATCACGGGAGAATCGTAGCATAAATTCCTCTTTGTGTCCTTTTCCCAGGCTTTCCTCACACCTTGTCCTGTCGCCTCACTAACACCTCCTTGGTGCCCATGACCTTCAACCTTCGCATTCCTGGGGACGGCTCAGGAGAGCCCAGCGTGACCAGTTTTGTGCAGGTGGTGGACAACACTCACCCATCCTGGAGGAAGGGAGCCCGGGGTCGTGTCAGGCCGACCGAATTTACCATCAGACCCCGCAGAGGGACCATCCGCTCCCAGGGATTCGTGGACATCCAGGTAGGGGAGAGGAGTCCAGCCAGATGTGCTTCAGCAGGGAGAGCTGAAGCTTTGCTGATGTCTGAGAGGGCTTAGCCCTGCTAGCTTAGACCATAACCTGAGAGATCTGCACCAGCGTTAGGTCTCTGTTCGCTGGGCTACTACTCTGGGCCTACTCTGCAGGAGCAACGTTTTGCTTTGCAGATCAGAAGCTGAAGATCATGTACCCTGTGGTCAAGCAGAGGAGCCATTCTTGTGGTTTTGAGAGCTTCTTAGAGCTATTTCTTTGCTTTAAAGTGGGCAAAGGGAGGAGGACAGAAGGTGGCTGTTGAAGAGAGCTGGCATTGTATGAATGGTTTTGCTTTTCATGCTGGTCTTCTCCTCTCCCGTTGAGCTGAAGGAGCTGTGTTCCCTCTGGGGATCTCCAGTGGGGACTGAAAAGGCTCTGGCAGCCATGACCTGCACAATATTTGCTGGGCCACGTTTTTCCCTCAGCTTCCCACTGTCAAGCTGAGTTCCTCCTGTTGTAGGCAACAGATTTCTCCTGGATTTACGCTGCTGTGGTTGAGACAAAAAATTAAACCCTTCATTTTCATACGGTGGTGAGCAGAGCATTAGTGTAACTGTGGTTTAATTCAGCTTATGGAGGGTCTGAGAGCTGCCAAGGGTATTTATCAAAGCAGGAATTGTCAGAAGACTTTTGTCACTCTCAGACTGTGTTCTACATGTGGACAAGCAGAAGAATTAAGGCAAAATCCTCCCTTCTCCTTCACGTGGAATGAGAACCAGAGGATACCACATGTGGATGATGGTTTTAGGGAGTGATAAAGTATTTGATGCTCTCCTCTTCCACCAGGTCACCCTGTGCTCCAACACAGTGAGGAGATACGAGCTGGCACTGGTGGTGGACGTGGATGGTGTTGGCAAGGAGGTGTTGGCACTGCTCCTCACAGCCAGGTACCAAGGCTTTCCTTGAAGCTCATCATCTTTCCTTGTGCCTCCATCACCTGCACATGCTTTGCTGGCTCCAGCTCCAAGTAGGAAATGTTACTTAATGAGCTGGTTCTGCCCAGCTAGATCTGAGAGCAGCAGTGTTTTGGAAGCAGCCCATGTTGAGAAGCGCCTGGGCTCGATGGACAGGCATGGCCCCGAGTCTTTTTTGGAAGAGAACAGTCATTTGAGTCATTGCTGACCTGGTTTTTGATGCTTGAGGTGTAACAAATCTCCAAAGGGCTGTCTCTCCATTGCCTGAGGGCGCTAATGTATGGGGTTGGGGAGTGAATCACAGAATGTTTCAGATTGGAAGGGACCTTTCAGGGTCATCCAGTCCAGCCCCGCTGCACTGAGCAACGTCTGCAGCATGAGCAGGTTGCTTAGGGCCCCAGCCAACCTCACCTGGAATGGTTCCAGGGATGGGGCATCCACCACCTCTCTGGGCAACCTGGGCCAGGAGCTCACTACCTTCAATGTCAAACTTTTCTTCCTTTAGTCTCAATCTCCCTCTTTTAGTTTCAAACCATCCCCCCTTGTCCTGTCATAACAGGCCCTGCTCAAAGTCTGCCCCCAGCCTTCTGACAGGTTCCTTTAAGCACTGAAAGGTTTCAAGAAGGTCTCCCTGGAGCCTTCAACTCTGCAGGCTGCCCAACCCAACTCTCTCAGCCTGTCCTCTTAGGAGAGGTGCTCCAAATGGGAAAGAGGCTATGGCAGGACTGATGAGGGAAAAAGAAAGGCAAGATCTTATAAGGGGAGAAGTCCTTGCTGTAGAAGGTGAGCTCAGGTTTCTCTGCATCCCTTCACTTCTTTTGAGCATTAATGTTTTCAGACTTGAGCCAAAAGTTGTTCTTGCTGCAGCCAGATTCAATCCCGTTGTGCTGCAGTGGGTGTCAGTTTAATTACAGGAGGGACACGGTTCGGTGGTGCTGGTCCCTCTCCCAGCCTGTGCCTGGGCTGCAGTTCTTGTAAAACCAGTGCAAACGGGAGCAGGCAGCTCATGGAGCGTGGTGGTGAAGGACCAAGGTCGCTGTAGGAGCTGGGCGAGGGTGTCACCCACCCTGCAAGGCAGGTTGGGGCTCGTGTCCTCCACTGCTGGGTCAGCTTGGCTGAGTTTTGAGGCTGGTTTTTTTTTTTTGCTGAGACCCTGGAGCCTTGTGTCCCTGGAGCCTTGGTGAGCACTGGTCCTTGGTGGGAAGGCTCTCCCAGAGCTCATGCTTTGCTGGGACCATTGGGAGAGACGTGGAAGCCTTCTGGGGCAAAGGTGCTCGTCAGTACCACCAGAGAGTGACCAGCGTGTCATGCTCCGTTTCACCACATTCAGGGAGCAAACAAATTCTCCCTTCTCGTGCCACCTCTAACTCCACAGTTCTAATTGTGGTCGTCTCTTTGCCTAGATGTGTGGTTCCTCCTCTGCGAGCTCTCAACCCCGTCGTGACGTTTGGGCGGTGCTTTCTCCAGTTCCCTTCCCAGCGGATGCTGACCCTGGTCAACGAGAGCGACCTTCCGGGCTGCTACGGGGTTCTGCCTCAGGTTGGGCATCACCTCTGCCTCCTGCCCTCAAATGGTGGCTAGGGGCTTACTAGGGAACAAAAGGGTTTGGTGAAGACCTTGCTGGTTTGTACACAAGCCTAGAGGTTTCCTGAGAGCAAGAACCTACCTGAATATAAACCTTAGGAAGCAGTTAAATAGGAACCTACATGAATATCATCTTTAGGAAGCAGCTTAAAATCTTTAGGAAGTAGTTTATAGCTTAGTCTCTGGGATGCTTTCATGAACTTAGAGGGCTGGAAAAAGCTGCTGCCCACACAGGAGTGGGTGTTTCTGGATGCAGCAGCTCCTGGACCCACTGAGGACACCAAGCATCTAAAAATCTTGCATCTTGTTTTGTGCATTTCTACATTCTCCAAGGGATTTTTTAAAAAATGGGTGTGAAATGTATTTGTGGTAGATGTTCAGGAGTTTAAATTTTCCTCAAAGGTCCCTCTGAAGTTGCATTTGATTCCCAGTGTCAGCCCAGGCTGGGGGTGAAAGGCTGGAGAAGGACTTAGGGGTGCTGGGGGTGCGGAGCTGGCCAGGAGCTGGTCTGGGGAGACCCCCCTGCAGTGCTGGGGCAGCTCTGGAGTCCTCAGCACAGCAGAGACAGGGACCTGCTGGAGCGGGGCCAGAGGAGCCCCAGCAATGACCCGAGGGGGGAACCCCTCTGCTGGGAGCCCAGCAGGAGAGAGTTGGTCTTGGGCAGCTGCAGAGGAGAAGGCTCCAGGGAGACCTTCTGGGGGCCTTGCAGGGCTTCAAGGGGCCTGTCAGAAAGCTGGGGACAGACTTTTGAGCAGGGCCTGTTGGGACAGGACAAGGGGGGATGGTTTGAAACTAAAAGAGGGAGATTTAGACCAGAGAAAAGGAAGAAATGTTTGACACTGAGGGTGGTGAGCCCCATGTCCAGGTTGCCCAGAGAGGTGGTGGGTGCCCCATCCCTGGAACCATTCCAGGTGAGGTTGGCCAGGGCTCTGAGCAACCTGCTCTAGTTGGGGATGTCCCTGCTCCCTGCAGGTGGCTGGGATTGGACTAGATGGCTTAAAAGGTCCCTTCCAACCCAAAGAAATTCTACAATGGAATGATTGTCCCTTGTAGGAGCAGAAGGAGGACGCTGCTGTGTGGTTCTCCAGCCCTGTTCCCTGTGGGATTCTCCATCCTCACAGCTCAGTGGAGGTCCCGTTCACACTCGAAGCCCGGGTGTTGGGAGAGCAGGACACTGTTGCTTACGTGGCCGTGTTTGGGAGTGAAGGAACCCCACTGGTGAGTGCTGGGGGAGATGTGTGTGTGCTCTTCTCACTCACTTGGTGGGGTGTCAAGTGTCCAGGGGTTCTTCCAGGGAAAACAAGAACTTCTCATACATGGTGGGGACAATGAAAGAAAGGATTTGTGATGTCAACAACAGCTAATGCCTGGAGAGGTGGCAGAGTGGGATCCTCTGAGGTGGTGATGGAAGTGTCTGACAGCATTTCATTAAGAGCCCCATCTGACACCCAGCACAGTGCCCGTGTCTCACACATCAGGTGAACAGCAGCTGCCAGTTCATGAGGACTTTTGTTCAGGAGCTCCCAGGGGCACCCTGAATCCTGCTAAACCAAGCCCTTCAACAGTGCTTAAGGGCTGCAAAGCTGGATTTAAGCCTTTCTGGAACTCAGGCCCATCAGTCCTGAGAAATCTCCACCAAACCTCCTAGCCAGAAGGCCCAGATGAAGACACACGTCTCCACACCACTTACTTGGGGCACAGGGACTTTTTTTTCCTACCAAGATTGGAAATGGCTGAGGCAAAGCAGTGCTGGGCTAAAGCCTCCTTGAAAGGTGGTGGAATAGGAAACAGCAGCGACGACAACAAAAACGTGGGTGAAAGAATGTTGTTAATTAAACTTTAATTTAAAAAGATATTAACTTTTGAAGCAGCTGGTTTAAAATGTCTTGCCATCTCTCCGAGCAAGGAAGAGGATGTCAGAGGATCCCTGGGACCTTTAAGCTTTCTGTAACAGAAAGGAAGGGCTGACATTCTGAGAGGAGTTGCAGGGCTTTTAAATTTTCATTAAAATGAAGAGAAATTATGCTGCTAAACCCCCTGGATGCCACAGAACAACCCAACCAGGCCATGGGATGACCGAGCAGCACAGGTTTTGCTGGGCTGTCTGAACTGGGACAAAATAATTCCTCGTAAATACGAGGCCCAAGGGTTAAAACTTTTAACAGGGAGAGTTTCTCCCCACTGGAATAACCAGTTGTCACCACCAGCCTGGTTTTTAGCTACAGAAATCTTGCAAAGCTTTTACCCTTGGGTTAGCAACATGTGGTTTTGAAGTTTACATGACCTTAATCTTTTTTCTTTAGTGGGAGATGAATGTCCATCTCGGCTGGAGAAGCCTCACTGTCCCTAAATAAATGACTAGAGGAGGCTGAGCCAAGTGTGGGCACCCATTAGTTGATCTCTAACTTGCAGGGTTTACTCTTGGTCACTGCCAGCACCCAGCAAGTGCTGGTAGAAACCTCCCTGTGTGTACCAACAGCACAGAGCTGAGTTTCTGGCTGTCGGGTGAGATGATTGGGGTTTTCTCTAGGCCTGCCTTAGCATTCCAGGGTGCTATCAGTAGTTCCAAAGCTCCCTGGGCGTGCGGACAGCCCAGCTGTCGTGCCACACACCCTGCACTGGTGGCAGATCCTGCCCAGATGCATCACACGAGGCAAACCTGCCCTCCAGGAGCCTCTGCAATGGGGTAGAGCAGAAGCTGAGCTTGCTCTTCTTGTCTCAAGTTCTACTGTCTGCTCTCCAGGTTGAATCTTTATGCTGTTCTAGGTGAAAAATGGTACAGATCTCTCATCCAGGTTGTGTAGGGTCCCTCCGTGGGTCTGTTGCCTGGGGTTTTGTTGTCAGGTGACCATGTGCCAGCTTCAGTTTGGTGCGTGAAGACTTGAGGAACTGGTGAAATCGAACCCTGGGGTTACTGGTGGCCAGGCAGGCTCCTGTGCCACGGGCAGGGGGTTTGGCAGCTGGCCACTGTCACAGTAAGTGGTCACTCAAACCATGGCTGTCGGCCAGGGCCAGATGCTCTTCTCTGGTGAGTGATCAGAGGGGACATTCCATAGCCCTGGACAAAGCCAGCAGTGCTGCTGGGGGCTGGGTGTGGGTGGGAGTGGCTATGTTGCCCGTGGCAAAGTTGCCATCTCCTTTGACTGCCTTCCTCTGTGTGTCATACTGCCCTTAACGCTGCTGAAAGGGGTTGTTCTTGTCCCTTTTAACATGTCCCTTGGCTGCTCATGGCTTGGATAAGTGGACACTTTGCTGGGTAAAAAACTGGCTGGATGGTTGACCCAGAGAGTAGTGGTAAATGGAGTTAACTCCAGCTGGCAGCCTATCACAAAAGGTGTCCCCAGGGCTCCTACTGGGGCCAGTTCTCTCAAATGTCCTTCAAAATGATCTGGACAAGGGGCTTGAGGCAGTCTGCAGACAATATCAAGCTGGGCAGGAGTGTAGATAAGCTTGAGCATAGGAGATTCTACAGAGGGACCTGGCCAAGATGGATCGATGGGCTAAGGCCAGTGGGATGAGGTTCAACAAGGCCAAATGCTGGGTGCTGCCCTTGAGTCACAGCATCCCCCTGCAACACTCCAGGCTGGGGCAGAGGGGCTGGAAACTGCCTGGTGGAAAAGGACTTGAGGGTTGTGGTTCAATAGCTCGCTGAAGATGAGCCAGTGTGTGCCCAGGTGGCCCAGAAGGCCACCAGCATTCTGGCTTGGGTCAGCACTAGTGTGGCCAGCAGGACCAGGACAGGGCTTGTCCTCCTAGACTGGGCACTGGGGAGGCTGCTTCTCAAATCCTGGGTTTGGTTTTGGGCCCCTCACTCCAAGAAGGACCTTGAGGGGCTGGAGCATGGCCAGAGAAGGGCAACGAAGCTGCTGGGGAAGGGTCTAGAGCCCAAGTGTGGTGAGGAGCAGCTGAGGGAGCTGGGGGTGCTGAGCCTGGAGCCAAGGAGGCTCAGGGGAGACCTTCTGGTTCTCCACAGCCCCCTAACAGGAGGCTGGAGCCAGGTTCGGGCCGCGCCAGTCAAGCAAGAAACAAGCGCCAGGGCAAGAGGAAACAGCCTCAAGTTGCCCCAGGGGAGGTTTAGGTTGGACATGAGGAGAAATATCTGCTGCAGAAGAGTTGTCCAGGGCTGTGCCAGGCTGCCCAGGGCAGTGGTGGAGTCCCCATCCCTGGAGGGGTTTCCAAGCCATGGAGATGTGGTGCTGAGGGACATGGGTCTGTGGGGATCTGGCAGTGCTGGGGGAATGGTTGGTGATCATAAAGGTCTTTCCCAACTAAACCGATTCCATCATTCTATTCTTGGATGAAGGGGTGTTTTAGAAGCCCTTTCCTTGGGGAGGGTAGATTGTGTTAGCACACCCTTGTTGAAGCCAGCTAGGCTGGGCATGCTCTGGGTGTTACTCTGCCAAAGTGTCCTGACCTGCCTTGGCTGCTTCTGCCCTGCTGTCACCTGGAGGCAAATCCAGCAGGCAAGACACAGCTCTTCTCACCAGCTCCTCCTTCCCAGGAGCTTTGGGCAGCATCACCCAGCCTGCAGCCCTCTGTGCCCCCCTTCTCCCAGGGGTTCCATCATCACGCGTGGCTTCAACTCCTTATTTTTGAGGTGCCAGCCTTGGTACGTGACTCTTGGCTCCTCCTTGCCTGCGGTGGTGTCCTGCTGAGGGCTGAGCATTTCTGGATGCAGCTCCTTCTGGCCGAGCAGTTCTGACAGCTGTCAATGCTGTTTCCTTCAGGCAGGCATCCTTCAAGGGTTGACATCATCAAGGAGGGTTTCTTGTGTGGTTAGATCACACTCTGTGCCCTCCAGGGAGTCCTACAGTAGCTTCTTGGTGTTCAGAGGTTTCTGCCTTCAGGTCTCATTTAAGAATTGTGCTCTTTGGAACCACTGAAATCCAAACAGGCTGGAGAAATTCTTCTGGGCTTTCATGACGTGAGGAGGTGGCTCAGCAAGTGGGTCTGAATTCCTCCTCCAATAATTTGTGCCAGGGCTGAAAGAATGAAACTTTGGGGTCTCAGACTGACAAATGAAAAAAACATGGCTTGAATTAATTAATAACTACTGTCCATTATTAATATAATACCAGGAATACAGGTAAGCACAAATCAGAGGCAGGTGATGTGTGTGATCTCTCTGAGGAGCTCACTTTGCTCTGGCCTTGGGCTGGTTTTCACAAGTGCAGCTTTGAGAGTGTTAAAAATGTCACTGTCTGAGTCTTCTGCTGCTGCACAGCCACACAGGGAGGGTAGTTTGGGGCAAAACTGAGCAGAAAAAGGGCTGGGAGCAGGCACAGGGTGGAGGAAGGGAAGGTAACTGTGTAAGGGTTGTGGAAAAGCAAGGGTGAGATGCAGGGTTTCTTTATCTTCTGGTACCAGGAGCTTGGGGTGATAGGTGGGATCACTCCAGATCCCACACGTGCTCCTGGCCTTCTCCTTTGGGCTTACAACACTGAGAACTTCAAAGAGCCAGAATTCTCCACAAGTCTAGGGATCTATCCCCCTTAGAGCTGTCTAACCTTTTCAAACTTTCCCTCTCATGTTTTTGTTTTTGGTTTTTTTTTCCTAATCTTTCCTGCCTGCTTCCTGGAGCAGAAAATCCATTTAGTGAGCACTGGAGAAGGACCAGTTGTCTACGTGCAACCGAGTAAGATAAATTTCGGCAGCATCCAAGTTCTACAAGATGTTTCCCGAGCTCTCCACCTCTCCAATCAGGCCGTCATCCCTGCATCCTTCTGGACAGAGATGGTAAGTGTCTGGCATTCTCCAATGAAAATGACTTCTCTGGAGTAGCCCATGAGCTGATTTTTTTTATATGCAACTTTTCCACCTTGCTGTCCATGAGAGAAATCAAGGTGCTCCATCATGGTGCACCAAGTGGAGCCCGTGGCTCTGGGGGCAGTTCTACCTGGAACACCCCTTGGTAAAACAGAC